ACTGCAAACCACAACACCCAAAAGGTGAGAGAGAGCAAAAGGGAATGCCCTGCCACAGAGGTGGGGTGGGGGTGGTGGTGGTGGGAGGAATACTGGGAACATTGGTGGTGGAGAACGGGCACTGGTGAAGGGATGGGTACTCAATCATTGTATGACTAAAACATAAGCACGAAAATTTGTAAGTCTGTAACTATACCTCATGGTAATTCATTAAAATAAATAACAAATATGCATTAAATTCTACTATATCATTACCAAAAAATCATTTTTATATAAAAGGCCCTCCCGTTGATCGTCAATTTGCTCGAGCGGGCCCACTAACGTCTCCATTGGAGACTTTGTTGCTACTGTGTTTGGCATATCGAATACTCTCGGTAGCTTGCTCGGCTCTCCGAGAGGGGCAGAGGAATCGAACTCGGGTCGGCCATGTTGGCCGCTTGTAAGGCGAATGCCCTACCTCAAGTTTTATTGAAAAGATTGCCCTGATTTAAAAAAAAAAGAGTTAATGTAGAGATCCACAAGGCTGAGTCAAAGAGTTAATGTAGAGATCCACAAGGCTGAGTGTAGGGAGGGAGGAGCCATTGAATGGGAATTAAAGGGAGATGTGTGATAGACACATCTTTCCACTGAGTCTCTTTGCAATGCTTCAGCAGTATATAAAGGTATCAAAAGGATAAAACTCAGCAATACACAACAGAGTATTGTTGTGTTTTATCCTTTAGGCCACATGCAGCAGTGCCAGGGAGCTACTACAGGCAGTACTTGGGGAACTATGCAGTGCTGGGGATCAGGGATCAAATCTGGGACTCTTGCAGGCAAAACATGTTCTGATCTGGCACCTGAGAAAATATTCTTGTTTTGTTTTGTGGTGCTAGGGTTCAAGGCCAGGCCAGAGGTGAGGTATGCTCCAGCCACATCTCTGAGAAGACACTCTTTATAGAGGCCTGAGACTCTGTTCTTAAACCATTAATTATGACAGAGTCATGAGAGACATAGATAAGGCCTGAAAATCCTTGTATACCATCTTATCTAAACTAATACCAACCTTTTCTAGTTAGGCTATGCCATTGGCAATTTGGGGTCTTTGGGGAACCACACCTGGTGGCGCTCGGGGCTTATTCCTGGCTTTGTGCTTCAAGTTCACTCCTCACAGAGCTTGGGGGAGGATATGTGGTAACCAGAGATTGAACCCAAATCAGCCACATGCAAGGTAAGCACCTTACTTGCTATACTCTCTCTGGCCCTCTTGCCTACATTTTCCAAGATTTTCCCTATAGCATAGGAGGATGATTTCAACTGCACTTAGTCAAATATTAGCTATCATCATCACCGTAATCACTGTTTAGTTAATATTATGATTATCATTATCATTGTTGCTGCTCTGACAATATTGTCACCATAAGGACTATTGTGTCCTTCTGGCAAAGACTTGACTCAGATAGCCAAAGGATTTCTTCCTTGCACTTGTTATAATGTCCTTGAGCCTTCAACTTGGTGTGCTCTTTGCCTAAAGTCCCCTTTGAATTCAGCAAATTCCTTTCATTCTTCTCATATGGACTTAGCAATTCTTTGATTTGGAGACCTTCACTGGTCTCCCAAAACTGTGTTTGGTGGCATACTGTGGAACCCCATCTTTGTTCCTTTGGCAAACTGAAGTAGAAGTGCTTATGTCTTTGCTGGCTATTCCACTGTCCTCTTAAAACTTTACAAGGGGCCATATCTTGTTCACTGTTTGAATCACAAAGTTCAGCACATTCAGTAAATGCTTGTTCAGGAAACTGCAAAAGTTCCAGATCCCTTCTTGTTCTTCTGCTCCTTTCATGACCTGGAACACCAAAGCAATTCTGATACTAAAACATTCTTGTGACTCTCTCATTCTCAAGTTAGGTATGAAAACTTAGTGCAAACAAAGGCAGCATTTGTGATTTTTCAGGTAACAGCTACTTATCTTAAAAGGATGCTTGATTGTGTGCCTGAGTTTCCCCAGGGATAGGGAGTTGTGCGGGAGGTAAAGTACCAACCTTAGTGTAAACGCTGGTTAATTCTTAGCTATGCAGCAGACACAAACTGCTTGTAATCTAAGATGAAGGTGCGAGATGGCTAGGGAAAATGCTCCTGGGTACCAGCTTGATCATAGCTCTTATCACTGTAAAGGGAGGGAAGGATATCTGGCATGCTTCCTTCTTTTCAAGTTGTCTTTCCCTGTATCCTTAATAGATTTTATATCTGTGTTTCTCTGATCCACTGATAGCTGGTAACTACTCTGGAATTTCTATTTAAGAGGAATTTAGGGGCAATCTGAGTGAATTAGGGAAAGGACTACATTTGCATAACAAATAGACTTTTAAAAAATAACACTGTCACTGTCCTGTCCTCCCGTTGTTCATCGACTTGCTCGAGCGGGCCTGGTAACGTCTCCATTGTGAGACTTCTTGTTACTGCGTTTGGCATATTGAATACTCTCGGTAGCTTGCCAGGCTCTCCGAGAGGGGTGGAGGAATCGAACCCTGCTCGGCTGGGCTGGCTGTGCACAAGGCAAACGCCCTACCACTGTGCTATCACAGTAACAACAAAGTCTCCAATGAAGACGTTACTGGGCCCGCTCGAGCAAATCGATGAACAACGGGAGGGCCTTTAAAAAATAAACTTCCTGTTTATTTTGGAGGGTGGGCTTATATTCCATCCTCTTGAATATAAGAGGGTGCTAAAGACTCCCAAGCTACCCCATTGCCTAGAGAACATCTATTTTTAGTGTGGGAACATTTGAAGTAAAGGAATAGAAAGGCTTGATAAGGGAGGTTTGACTAAATCTCTTTTGTCATTGCTGTTTACTTTGGTAAACATATATTCTGCCTAATAGGAACAAACCAACACATTTTCAGAATATATTTAAAGGTTTGAAAAACTACAGTCAGTTATGGGACTAAGCACAAAATATATATATTAGCTGGGACTTAAAGAAATCAGTATAGTCATAAATAGGCAGCTTGACTAAAGAAAACTCAAACTTGCAGCCTATTGGTTGATGTCACCATTATATGTTGATTTCAGCCATAGATAGATACAATAGAAGACATGATCTCAAGGAGCTTGCAACGAATTTGAAAGGCAAAAAAAATGCCTACCAGGTTATCATTTAAGACTATTTTGGGGAAAGGATATTGAGTATTGTATTTATTTCTTATTTTATACAACACTTACTCTTTACAAAAATGGTTAGAGTCTCGCTCATAAAAGTGTAACCTATGCCATCTGAAAGCAAACATTCTGTAATTATTTAAAGAGGTCTTTAAAAAAATTATAATACAAAGGTCTGTACTGTATAGGCAGTCCTCTACTGTGCATTATAACAACAAGGCTTGCTTCAAATACAGACTAAATGTTTGAAAGTTATGAACCACTGAATTTAACATCATTTTATAGTTGCTTTTTGCATTTTTTGTTGTTTGGCGGATCTTCCATAAGACTTTTTGTGAGAATACTCTAGTATTCTCTGCTCCTGCTGCTTATTATCTTAGGCAATCATGCAGGAAAAACAGAAGGAGGGGAAAATGGACAGGGATGGAAAGGGACTGTGGATACAAATATTATGGTTTTAAGGCATAAGCCAAATTTAAAGCAATAATTTATATTTTTAATGCTGGATCCTGAAGTTAAAATTCAACTGATCCTTTTATTTTGCAGAGGAGGAAACTGAGACCTATTAGCAAAGGACCCCAGTTGATGAGGGCAGGACTAAGCACAAAAGCCAGTCTGATGACCTTTCTGTCATAAGTTGGTGCCTTTGCAGTTGAGGTTAAATGACTGCGTCACTGCCTGGGTCTAAATTAACGTTTTGATTTTAATGGTTAGGTGGTTCATGGTTAGATGGTTTTAGAACTGATCACATACATCAGGAATTTTTTTAGTATGACAGTCTCATCAATCTACTTTCCCAGTTTCCAAAATAGAATCCATCCATGCAAAAATTCTTTGTCTCTATCATAGGGGAAATTAAAAATATAACCTGAATAACAGACTAGATAGCTTTTGTTGTTGTTTTGTAACCTGTCTTCATCCATCCCTCCATACTCATCTCTTGAGCTAGAGTGAGATGAATGATTTACAATTCTCTTTCATCTGGACTCTTCTAAATCTCCGTTTCAGATTTCAACGCGTGCATCTCTACCAGATTTCCTTCCCATGACCTCATAGCCCACGGGAAGCCAGCCTCTCGTCTGCAGGTCCCTATTTCTGTCAGTGACACCATCTCTCCTCCAGTCGCCCAACTCTGAAGTCTTGACATCCTCTGAATTCTTTCCTCCTTCCTCTTCTTCACCTCTAGAGAGGCACCAATGTCTGTGGCTTTGGTCTGAATCTAGTCTTTCTACCTCGTCCCTTTCCCCCTTAATTCAATTTCTTACATGTCCATAAATGATAAAACGAAAAATCAAAGATCTGAAGAATATCTTCAACTTTGCCACCTGTTCTCACCCTTTCCAGCACAGAGTCCCCCCTCCTCCTCCCCACAATTCTTCTTTTCCCCAATATCCAGGGACCACCTTTAGCTCACTCCTGGAATGCATCCCGCTGGCCTCCTCTGCAGGTCCCTGACCTGAGGCAGTGGGCTGCGACCCCACCTCTAGACACCCCAGGTAACTACTGAGAGGGTCTTCTGGTGTCCGAATCTCCCAGATAACCGCACGAATCTGTCCATCTGTCCCCTTGTCAACTAGATCATTAGTTCCTGGAGGGTGCAAAGACATCCACTCTGTTTTTTCCTCTGTGTGGGCAAGAGCTCAAAAAGTGGAATAAGAAGTGAAAACGGTGCTGAAGGTGACCAAAAGGCGAAGGGGCCCACGGGCCTGTCCCCGTGCCCCCACCTTAGCACAGGTACCCCGAGAAAGGCAGGAGAGCCGGGCAGAAAGGCCGCGAGCGCCTTCCCCCACGCCCCGCGGAGCGCACGTCTGGGCCGTCCGTGGCCGGGGCCGGGCGGGCGGGCGGGCGTGTCGGGTGCGGGCCGGGCGGCTTGGCCTTTCGGCGCTCGGAGGTAGGTGGTGCTGTTGGTGCTGTTGCCGAGCGAGTGAGCCTCCCTCATTGGCGCGGGCCGCAGAGGCGGAATGTTCAACTCCTGACTCCGGCGGAAGCGTGGAAGTCGCGCGTGGCCGCCGTCCTCCTGTCCCCCCCGGCTGCCGCCTGCGCTGCCCCCCGCCCCGGCTGCCGCTCGCGCCGGCCCGGGACTCAGGTAAGGAGCCGAGCGGCCGGCGGGAGTGGTCGGGGCGGGCCGGGCGCAGCCTGGGGTGCTGGCCGAGGCCCTCTCAGGGCTTGCGCGCCCGGCTCCGGGCGCCCGTCGCCGGCTCTGCAGGGCGCGGAGCCCGGCCGGGTGGCGGCGGCGGCGGCGGCGTCCGGAGCGACCTTCCCGGCTCGGGCGGAGTCGGGCGCCGCGGCCCAGCAAGGGCTGGGCAAGTCCGGCCGGTCCCGTCCCCGAGTTGGCGCCGGGAGCGCAGGGTGAGAGCGCCCCGATTGTCCCCCTGGCTCTCGGCCCCCGGGTGCGCGGCGGGGTGCGGGGCCGCTCCCCTAAGGCGGGACCCCCGGCGGGACGGCGCGGGCCCTGCAGGGAGCGGGCTGGGCCCGGGCACGTCCCGGGGAGCTGAGCAGAGCGGAGCGTCCCCAACCGGGGCAGGGCGCGGACCCCTTCCCAGCCGAGGCTTGTGCATGCCAACTTCTGCATTTCTGCGGGATGGCCCTTTCCTAGGGCGGCGAGAGACCACTCCTCCCTCACCCGTTCAGTTCAGGGAGTCCCCGCCACCCCCTCTTTTTCCTTCCCCTGGAAGTCAGGGGCCCGCCCGGTGCGGTGGCTTCTCCCGGGGCTCGGGGGCGCGCACCAGGCCCGTGCATGGACTCTTGAGGCCGCCGCCCTCCTGGCCTGCTCCTGACAGCTTGCGGGAAAAACTTTTCCATGGAACCGGTGAGATGACAAGGGAGCCTTTAAACAAACAGAAAGCATTGTCGCGGCAGACCCGAAAATGCACGCTTCCGATGAGCCCCAAGATCTCGCCTAAGCACTATTTATGGGCAACTTAATTACTCTTCTTGTTAGTTTCTATAATAATGGAAAGCGACTCTCCTGTAGTGGCCCATTTCAGTGGTGTTACCGTAGGTTGCTCGCTCCTTAATAATGGAGCATTAGAGTCGAATTAATTAAACCTTGAGCATAGTTGGGTTAAGATGGTTGTTAAAGGGTCCGCCTGTTCGAACCTGTAGCTCCTACCGCAGTTGCAGTGGACAGGTAGAATTCAGGGAATGGGTACGAATTTGAAGAGGAAAACAAATAGGAGATTCGGTTTAGGACAGTCGGCCCCTATCGACGGTCAAATTCCGTGGTTTCTGATTTAAAAAAAAATATGAGTTGATTGCATTTTAATTACAGTTTTGGTCATTTGTGGCGCCTTTGTTTTAAATCTCTGCTTGTACAATAGTGAGAGATTTGGTAGATTGTACAATGAATCAAATTTTGTTTGAAAAGAAAATTGAAAAAAGAAAAATGGTCTTTCAGAACAATGTATAAAATGTTTATTTTATTCTTCCACATTCTATTTCTGTTATGACTTTTTGGAAGATTATATTTTGAGTTTTTTTTTAAACTGGAAAATATTGTTTAAGTGTAAAGTTTTAGTGCTCATAACTCCAGAGTAAATGATCATAATGCAGTGGCAAAAACTTTTCTTCCCTGTGTCAAGGAAAGCAAGTTAGATGGTTGGTCTTTTTGCTGTCCTCTTTTCAGAAATAAGGCCACCTTAAAAAGAGAGAAAGAGAAAAATCCAAATATTAAGCACGGGGATTTGAATCTAAAAATGGACGGTCAAAGATCTTGGGAACTAAGGGACCTTCTTGCCAAATAAGGAAACTTGGCTAGCAGCTCTGTGTATTTTAAGTTAGCACAAGAGTGAGTGTTATTGGCAATATATTGGCCGAGTGCCTATCTGGAATGAGCAGCCAACTGACTCTGATAGAGTCACCAAATTATAAACAGGAGTTAAGAGGGGCGTGGAGTAAATAGAAAACTCCTCTAGGAACTTGAGAAATTATAATGATGTTTCATGGAAAAGGTCAGATATAAAGTGAAACTGTTAGTGTGGAGAGAGAGAGAGGGATTGGACAGTTGATTTTAGAAATTGATAGGTTCAGAGAAAAGGGAAGAAAAAACTATGTGTATATGTAAGGGAAGAAAGAAGTGTGTATGTGTGTGTGTGTAAGGGAAGAGATAATGTGTGTGTGTGTGATGGAAGAGGGAATGTATTTGTGTGTGTGTGTGTGTGAAAAGAGAATGTGTGTCTGTATGTTTCAAACCAGAGAAGGTGTTTGTTTGAGAAGATAGTACTTCCTGGACTAAGATTGTCTTATATCTGTAGCCTGAGATGTTGGAAATAAAAATCAATTTGGATCATTTGTTTTCCATTTTATTCTACCCAGGACAGATTGACAGGGAGGGTGTCTTGTCTATCTGTGTAATAGGACCTGGGCAGACACCTTTTGGTCTTACAGCAGGGAAGATTTAGGCTACTTCTTTTGTGACTATTAACCTTGCCTCACTCCACACAAATAAGGCGAGTTCCTGCTGTGAGTTAAAAACTGGACTTGGTAAGGAAAGAAAGCCATAAATGCTGGAGCTTAGATTGGTTTGACTGATATGTAGGTGCCTTTGTGTCCCTCCCTCCTCTAGACAGCTGAAGAGTCCATTATATCCTAATAGCAGTAAAATAATCCCTACATAGTAGAAGATTCTGGGAGAACAAAACAAGCACATATTTGACATCTTAACCTCAGCATTGAAATTGCTCATGGGAAATTAAAGCCTCACATCGAACTTTAGGTGAATGCTAAGCAGTCTAGTAATAACTGTTAAAAAAAGGGGGGGGGAATCTGTTTAAAAGTGGTGGGGGTGGGAGGGCTAATTTAAAGGACACAGTTGAATGATAAGTGGAGAAAAAAAAGACATATGATATGGTGGAAAAAATGATGTGACTTTGAAGTCAGACCTACATTTGAATCTCAGTGATGTCACTTGTAAGTTGGGTAGTTGGCTTGGGCCACTTTCGCAACCTTGCTCCTCAGTTTCCTCATTTGGAAAGTGTGGACAGTAATGCCTGCTTCATAAAGACAAGTGTACGTGGCAGCACATGGGCACGCTTCAGCCAGGGCCTGAAACCTCAACTACGGCAGTCACTGACTGCCGGAGGAAGGAATTTCCCACTTTCTCAAGTTAGACAGAGAGAAAGGCTTGCCCTTGACAGCCTGCCCTGTTCCCCACCATCTTGAGTGCGTCAGCTGGGCTAGGAGATTTTCACAGCAGCTCTCCTGCCTGGAGTATCAGGATTTCTAGATCAACTTTGAATATGCTTGTGTTTATATACACAACTGGGTGATATTCATATTCGTGGGGGCGGGGGAGGGGGGAGGTTGAGTCTGAAGGTTCAGATAGCTTTATGAAGAACTGGAGAGTTGTATTAATAGGGGAATGTTGCAACCTGAGATCCAGACCCAAATCATTTGAAAGCAGTCTTACAGATGAAGTTGAGTACTGTGTCTTTAGGGGCCAGCATCCTTCTTTCTGGACTCTTCTCTGGACTTGCACAATAAAAAACAAAGAGAAGGCAAGGCCTGCTTTATGCCGGTCATGCAGTAAATCTTTGCTTATTAAACTTTCGTACCAAGTACTTTCTTATGGGGAATAGTGTTTTCCTTCAGGGACCCATAAATAGAGCCATAGATACCAGTGTAATTAAGCAATTTCTTAATCTTAAAAATTCACATGTATTTTGTAGTCTCTTCTATACAGAAAGACACTAACTATGTTTCTTCTTCCACATCTTTAAAGTGATGTTGATACTCCAGGCTGTTCTTCTATTTATATATTTTCTGCACAGAGCTGGCTACTCTACCTTTGGTACTCTATACTTTGGATGAGCATGGACCTGGGGTAGTGAAATTCCAGTTTTCTGAGAAAGAACTGGAGTAGGTCGTCATCTGGAATTTTAAATTTCTGTGCATAAACCATGGCTCTGTTGGCCTCAGGAGTTCTTTGCTTGGCACTGGAGTGTTTTGCTTTGGAAGTGAAGAAGAGAGGAGAGGAGGAGAGTTTCAGGACAGAAATCTGAAATGTAGCTCTCATCCTGGCCAGTTAGGGAGGAAAAGGCAGGAGGATGATCCAGCTTGCTCACTACTTCTATCACTGACAGTGATTATAGCACTCCATGCTCTTCATGGCTGCCTCTCTGAGCAGAGCATTCTTCAGAACAGGCTGATGAATGGCTGTGCACTGGGGGGTGGGCATGGAACTTACAGTACTATCCATTCTGCTCCTGGCTGAGGTAGCAATCTCACCTTGCCCATCTTCCGTTGAACATTTCAATGACGAAGACTACTCTGCCAAATGCGGTAGCATGTGTTCTTGTTCAGGCAACTCTAACAACCAGGAATTCCTTCTAGAACACTTGTCCACAAGTAACCATGCCTCTGGTTCAGCAAAATACTATAGGGTCTCTCCAAGGCCTTTTCCAGTGTTAACGTTCTCATTTCCTTTTAGCTGACATTCACGTTTCCAAGTTTGTAATTACCTTTCCTGGGGAACATTCGCTCTAGATAAGCAGCCCAAAATTAGACCTGTTGGTCAGCAGCCAAGATGGTCAGATACTTTCTGTTTGGCTAAAAATGGTCCCAGTGGGGAATCCAGAGCTGTGGAGCTCAGGATCTGGGAAAGGTGAGCAGCTGCCAGTGAAGGTATGCCTGATGTACATTCTGAGCAATCCATCTATTGCCTGGGAATTCCTTTTCTGGGCAGACCAGGGAAGTCAGCCCTTTCTGGGCTCCTGGACTTTATTTACTTACTGAATTTTGATTTTTGGGAGGTCATACCTGTAGTGCTTAGAGCTCCTGGCCCTTTGCTCAGGAATCATTCATTCCTTGCTGGGCTCAAGGAACCATATGTGGTAGTGCTGGAGATAGAACCCAAATTGCGTGCATACAAGACAAGCACCCTACCCACTGTATTATCACTCTGACCTGGGCTCTCATATGGAATCGAATCCTGGCCTGCTTCTTTTCCTCCTATCTCCAGTTGCTCAACAAAAGAAGTCTTGAGCGCAGACTAATTTTTTTTCTTATAAATTTTTTTTTATTAGTGAGACACCATGAGGTACAGTTGTAGACTTACAAATTTTTGTGCTTGGGTTTCAATTATACAAT